CGAGCATTCAGACTCTTAAACTGCTTCCTCACATCTGCTTCATGAATATGAAGAGTTGTGGTGGGAGGAGGTGGTGTGAAATCCTCTTTTGTGTGGGGTGAGGAAGTGTATGAAGGTGGTGATGGCTCTATGGAGGGGGGAGAGGTGGGGGAATGAGTGTCCAAAGCTGGTGACACCAACATGATTACGTGACATCCTCTTTCTTTGTTTGCGTAACCTGTAGGGTTCAACAAGGTTCCGTCCTGGGTCCATTATTATTTTCCTTTTATACGTTTTTGCTAGCCAGTATCATTCAAACTTTTTCTGGCAATTCTTGTAATTTGTATGCTGACGACATTCAGCTGTACACATCTTTTAAGCCTGATCAGCTGGATAGGTTGTCCACTCCAGTTGATGGTTTATCCTGGATTTCTCCAATAACCTGATTATTTTGAACTCTGGCAAGATTGAGGCCATGTTTGGGATCTTTAGTGTCTTTCTTTGAACTATAAAACATTGCTTATGCATTTAGATCATTGCACCTCAATTACTCTACCACTGTTTTTCAGCTTAGACAAATCCTCTGTCACTCCTCCAGGCAATGCAAAATGCTGCAGAACTCTACAGAACGAGCTCACATTGCCCCTATTTTATTCTCTTTACATCGGCTCTCAAGTGTTTTTAGAATTCATTTTTAAAAGTCTGACACTTATAAACAGAGTCCTAAAGGGACAAGCTCCAGATCACCTATCTCAACTTGTTATTAAACACACTTCTTAAGCTCAAAATCTATTAGTTGTCTCTCATAGAAGACTGAAGACTCAGGGTAACAGCCTTTCAGTCTATTGTACCAAGATTAAGCTTTTCTGTTTAATCAGGCATTAGGGTTAGGGTTGCTAACATTTTTTGTTATTTACATTTTAATTTATTTTTATTCAGTTTTACCGTGGTTCTCTTTGCATATTGTGTTTTAATTGTTGTGCAGCGTGACTTTAATGTCTGTGAAAATCACCATATAAAAAGATGGTACTAACTTCAAAAATAGCAGTCAGGTAAAATTACCTGCGACCTTCTTTTGCTAGTTACACAGATCAAGGAAAGGTGAGCAGGAGGATCAATAGGGATAAGGAAATGGAAGGCATGATGTACAGAGTCTGACTGCATTTGCACACTGCTCCTGAAAACATGACGATGGATGTCATTAACATGGATCTGCTTTAGTGAAACTGCACTGATCCAAACATGGACTACGAAAGGCCAAATTCAGATACTTTTTTAAAATATGTTTTTGTAATGGTTAATCCTCCAGTATGCACAAGCTCTTGAATCAAAATGATACTATCAATGCTTAAATATAATTTTTGTAATAGTTTTATTTACTATTTTGCAAATAAACCTGGAAAAAATTGTGAGGCACATTTGATTAACACGCCAAATTACAGCTATTTACTTTCAGTTCTGAACATAAAAATTACTTTTAGTGACCAAAATGTTAATTAAACACACTGGACCTTAATTAAATCCAGTATACCAGCTCAAATTTGACTATAAAAGCATGAATTCACCTATTTTTGAAAATATTTATGATTTCTGAAGTGTTTATTTTCTTGTTTTTATGACAGGTGGTCTAATACATTTAGTAAGCACTTGTATATATTCTTTACACAAGGCAACAAGTTCATACACTACCAGTCAAGAGTTTGCATACACCTCATTTAATGGTTTTTCTTTATTTTGACTTTTTTCTACATTATAGTTACAAACTGAAGACATCAAATATATGAAGCAAGATACATGGAATTTTGTAGCAAAGACAAATTGATAAATAACTCTAAATATGTCTTATATTTAGATTCCTGAAGGTAGCCACAGTTGCTTTGTTCAGAGTGCTGCAAACCCTTGGCTTCTCTCAGTGAGCTTCATGATGTAGACATGGTTTTCACTTCACAGGTGTGCTTGTCAGGGTTCGTTTGTGGACTTTCTTGCCTTCTTAATGGGGATGGGATCAGTTGTGTTGTGCAGAAGTCAGGCTGGTACACAGCTGACAGCCCTATTTGACAACTGTTAGAATTCATATTATGGCAAGAACCAATCAGCTAAGTAAAGAGAAACAGCAGTCCATCATTGCTTTAGGAAGTGAAGGTCAGTCAGTCTGGAAAATTGCTAAACTTGTGTCTCTCTAAGTGCAGTTGCCAAAAACCATCAAGCACTACGACAAAACTGGCTCACGTGAGGTCTGCCCCAAGAAAGGAAGACCAAGAGTCGCCTCTGCTGCTGAGGATAAACTCATTTGAGTCAGCAGCCTCAGAAATTGCAAGTTAACAGCACCTCGAGCCCAGATAAATGCCACAGAGTTCCAGTGGCAGACGCATCTCTACATCAACTGTTCAGAGGAGACTGCACCAATCAGGTCTTTATGGTCAAACAGATGCTAAAAAAAACATTTAGGAAAAGCAACAAGTAGAAGAGATTTTTTTTGGACAAAGAAACACAGGGAATTTGATGAGTTCAAATTTGAGATCTTTGGCTCCACCCACCGTGTCTTTGTGCCACCCAGAAAAGGTGACTGGATGGTCTTTACATTTATGGTTCCCACTGTGAAGCATGGAGGAGGTGGTGTGATGGTGTGGGGGGTGCTTTGCTGGTGACACTGTTGGGGATTGATTCAAAATTGAAGGCTCACCAATCCAACATGGCTACCACATGCCATCCCATCCAGTCTGCATTTAGTTGACCATCATTTATTTTTCAACAGGACAATGACCCCAAACACACCTCCACGCTCTGCAAGGGCTATTTGACCAAGAAGGAGAGTCCTCCACGGTCACCTGACCTAATCCCATGGACCACAGAGTGAAGGCAAAAGGGCCGAAAATTGCTCAGCATCTCTGGGAAAACCATTTCAGGTGACGACCTCATGAAGGTCATCGGGAGAATGCCAAGCAACAATCAAAGCAAAGGGTGGCTTTTTTTTGAAGAATCAAAAATATAAAACAGGTTTTCAGTTATTTCACTTTTTGTTTACTACATAATTTCATGTGTTCATTCAGTTTTGATGCCTTCAGTGAGAATCTACAATGTAAATAGTCATGAAAATAAAGAGAAAACATTAAATGAAAATCTGTGTCCAAACTTTAATGTGGTTTGGACACGCAGGTTTAATATAATCTGGTATAACCTTTTATAAAGGTTTATCAGATGGATCCTCTGCTAATTAGGGTAATAAAGAAAGCATTCAGTCATGTGTTTACGCTTGTTTAGCTCTTATTACGGATACCATCAATATACACCCAGGTAGCCAGGAGTGTCCCTAAGCAAATTTGACTATCTGAATGTTGCCCAGACCTTTGTACATTAAGATATTTGCAGAGATTAGTTTGATGTTGAGCATGGTGGCCCAATGTGACAAACAGGACAATACAGGGTGTCAAAAAACGAACAAAAAAACTGAAAAAGAATTATCACGTATGCTTTAATAGATTTAAACTACCGCTGATCTACAGTGAACTTTAAGTGATGGGTTTCAGTTGGTGGGAAAAAATATACAAGTCAAACCGTTGTCAATTATACTTTTTTTTAATAAAAGAGGAATTACACAATTGTTATTATAAAAGCATGGATCACAATGATAATGAACACTGAGAATGTAATAAAACTCAAAAACACTTGAACTGGAATATGACTAATTCCCACACAGATGATTAAATTAAAAGGCAAAAGGAAAACAGCCATAAAGACATGTCAAACAACTTTAGGATAATGAATATATAACAGACTGCACAGCAGCTTTAGCTGCAATGTAAAGAAAGTAAGTGTTGGTGCTCCAGAAGGGGCCATTCCCTACTGAGTATGAACACCAGTTACCATGTTTTATATTTATAGGTCTATAAACCATAAAATCTGAGTGACCCAAAACATATATATGTATATATACATATACACACACGTGTAATAAAAACTGGGGCAACCAAAACCTACAAATGTGATCATAGGTCTAGCACCTTGTACACTGTGAACACATAATAAACAACACACATATGCTGTCGTAAAGTAAAACAGATCTGAGAAGTCTCAGGACAGAAGATTGCTTACGTTTGATTATTTTGAAAAATATACAACAGGTTTGAATTGTCTATGAGTCACCATTGTCTCATAGTCATGGCAGGAAAATACTTCTATTACAGGAATTGACCAGTTTAGGTTGCTTCTACCTTCTCTAGATTACTCTCATAGGTGAAGCTTTAAACCTTGAGAGAAAAAAAGTCACACAAGAAAACTCAAGTCAATCACACAAAGAAAAGGAAAAAAAATCACATTACTAATTACAGAGCCAAATTGAATAAAAACCAAAAAATTACAACAAAAATAAAAAATTATCTTGATTCTTCAGGACGTTCGTTTTGCGCTTTAAAGTAAAATGACACCGTAAAGTATTAGGGTACTTTTTTTAGTGCATCATCATCATCCTTACGTCTGGATTAGTAGATATACTCTAAATTTTAGCCTTAAGCTCTGTAACATTTCACTTCACACAGATGTACAACTGGCAGACTTTTGTATCTCTGCAAGACTCAGTGATTAATATCATATCTGAACTGATAACACAGCTGAGTGTATGCCCAGGTTCCATTATTTACACTTTGCAGTAGTTTTTTTGTTTTTTAAATTGGTTCACCAATCAAAGTTATCAATGATTAATTAAAAAATACAACATGGTTCTGTAACATGTTCCAAAGAGTAGATTTTGCAAAGAGTAGCTAAACGCAGAACTACAAAACCAGCTGCTGACATGAAAAGTAACATTTTTCCAGCTAAAATTTGGAGGAGCTTTTAAAACTGGACAAACCTTTTAGACGGCTATTAGTGTTGAAATGTTCATTTTTTTTTAGACACAGCACACAGTCATCTACACAATCGGCCATGTTAACAAACATGAAGTGATTGGGGCGTCTTCAAAGATGCAAATTATTTTAAAAATACAAATAAATAATGACTCAACTGGAAACTTATTGTCCCAAATTTGACCTAATTAGAACTGTTAATTAGACATTTTCATTCTTTTCAGTCACAAGGAATGACATCTTACAAAATGTCATTATAAATATTTAATCATACTTAACACCAGCATATACAAAACATCTGGGTCCCACCAAAGAGGTTTTGGCTGGAAAATCACAAGGACTGTTTAACCAGTATTTTTTAACTGTTATTAAAGTGGGGTTTAATTCGCACAGGCATGAAATACATTTATGTGTCAAATAGCAGGAAATGCAAACTTTTCTGTTTAAAAAAAGGAAAACACTGCCTTAAATATGAACTTCTCTCCCCAAAGGCCAATTTTAAGGCAGGAAAAAGTCTGAATACCCATCACTGCACCTATTTCAGGTGGCAGCATGGAAGCCCATAAAATTTCACTGATGCAACGTAAAAAAAAAATAAATAAAAACGTTATCCTTTTTTAAATAAACAGCATGCATTAATGACATATCCACTGGTCTCTCAACCTTCAGAAACAGTACTTAATATCTGTGTTTTTGACTGCAATCTATAACGGCATTCAGTCCATTTTCATTGACTCAAAGCAGTCAAACAGCATTGCACTTGAATAGTTCATATTATACATATAAGACAATGTTCAGTGATACTCAGACGTCCATATTTTTTACTCTTATTCTCCCATAAAGAAAATAATTGGCTTGAGATTTTGTCAGTTTTTGACCTTAAACATCTCTTTACTGTAATACTAACTGCTTCCTCATAGATGTATACTTCTTTCCATTGATGAATTGTCCAATACATTCATGGAAACACTCGGACGGTGCAACCCATCACCTCATATTTTTGACCCATCACTTTGCTCAGTCTCATTTTCAAGATTTGGCACTTTGGAACCACTTCAGAAGCTCCTGTGTTTGCAAAAGGATCAGCTCTCGTTCTCTGTGCAGAGCCGCGAGGCTTCGGATGATTGAGCACTACCACCGGCTGGTTTGGACCCGGTCGTTTCACTGGTTGGTCCACTTTCAGCGGCATTGGGTAAATGACTGTACAGTCAGTTACACTGTCCACAGGTACCTGAGTCTTATATTTGGATATTCTGAGTTTCAGTCCCTTCTTGGTTTGTTTCCACACGCCCACTTGCACCCTCTTCAGGGTGACGGTCAGAAACTTTGAGTCCTGCTCACTTTTGACCATTTGCTCAAGAGGTTCTTCAGTTTCAGATGCCTTTGCGTGTTCTGCAACATTAGATTCTTCGTGTGTTGAAGATTTTGAAGCAGGACTGTGACTGGATTTATTATCATCTGGTGGTAGAGGGATCTTTTTTTCCTCTTTGATATCAACATGGTTGTGGGTCAGTGCAGGAGAGTGATGAACCCCCTTATTGTGGTCTTTTGCTTCTACAGGCTCCGTCTGCTCCGTCAATAACGACTCACGGATGAAGGATTTGTTTTTTGTTTCCACCTGAAGGCTGGGCCCTAATGTCAGGGTCTTGTCCATGTGCTCAGTGTTTGTTATCTTAACTTGATCTTGAGTCGTACTGACAGAACTGCTACTTTTATCCATCACTATGCCTCGCAAAGCCATTACCAATGGCTGAATGGGACCTTGGGCGTCCTCTGGCTGCTGACTCAATGAAAACACAGAGGATATGATGGGGAAGCTCTCAGGTTCTGAAACGTCCCTCTCTTTTGCCAGCTCATTTAGTCTGACTTCCGGCATCCAAGTTGAGCTCTTTGACTTGGCATGATTTGAAAAAACAGGAGTTTTGACTGAAACAAGCTTGTTTATAGTCTTGGGTAATGAAAAAGACTGAGTTGGAACATTATCCTTACTGACGAGACATATTGGTGGTCTCACTTGGACAGTTGGAACAATGGAACTTCTTATGGAGGGAGAAGTTGATTTAATCCTGTCCTGGTTCGAGGGTGCCACTTCTTTGATTGGTTTTGAAGCAGTGCTACTCTTGAAGCAGATGTTCCCGGGTTCCACCTTCATAGCCACCGGCATATCCTGCATGTTTTTCGTGTCACCCGCTCTCCTGGATGGAACACTCTTGGGGTACTCTGGAAGTAAGGTCTTTCTCTCATCCATCACTCTCTGGGAAACCATGCTGCTTGGATGCAGGCTGGTGGTGTTCAACCTGCTGGTGACCCTGTTGGAGATAACTGGAAGAGGAGCTACGTGGCTCACCGGTGCTGTTTGCGTAACTCTGATCCCACTGTTTACCCCTTCTCTTACAGGACTGATGACATTTTTGGGAAACTTATTAGGAATGACTACGTTAGACTCCAAGTTGATTATTTCCGGTGATACCCTTTTCAGTCCACTCTTTTCTTTGCTCACTGGAGTCACTGGGAGATTGTTGGAAATACTGACCGGGACAACAGCGGGGCGCTCTACATTCACCATCTTTGTGTCACATGATTTCCTGTTAATAGTGCTCGTGCCCATACTCCCAGGCCGCACCGTGTTGGTGTGATTGATTAATGTAGATGACAATGGCTTCCCCAGCGCTGTGTTTTGAGAAACTGTCATCCTCGTGTCCTTTATCACTGACTCGTTTTCTTGTTGGGAAACGAGCCTGAGCTTTAGTTCTTTTGTCCCATTTACAGTTTTCACCTCAACGAGTTCAACCAAGCAGCCAGCAGGAATTGTTACTTCTTCTGGCAGAGAAACTGTGAGAGCTCTATTGTGCTGAATGAGTCCATTCAAAGGGGAAAGACGTTCTGGGTTGCCATTAGTGACATTCGATACCTTCGTTTCCAGTGTTTTTGCTCTCTGTTCGTCTTTTCCCAGTCTGACAGCAGGTACACTCGGGCTAGGTACCGTCACCCGAACAACCGGCCGAAGCGACGACGGATCGGCAGCGTGCAGGCTTGTTAAGGCACTGGGGACGGGGTCCTGCGGATTTTTCGTCACACCAGGCTTAGCAGGTACCTGAATAATGCTTTTATTATGCAAACGTTCAATGTGCTTAAAAAGGCACAGCCTCCTCATGTAGCCCTGTCCACAGTGAGGACATTTGAATGGATACTTCGAAGTGTGTCGTTTCAGGTGCGCGTTTAACTCCGCCTCACTATAGGAAATATCGTTGCAATAAAAACAGTAAAACCGTGTCCCCATATGCTCAACCATATGCTTCTCCAACGCTGAGGCATCTGTAGACGCAAATCCACATTTCTCACAATACCTCACGTTTGAAGTGGTTAACACGCGATCCAGTGACAAATTTGGATGTCCACCATTCACAGAGGATGGCATGCTTTGATAGCTGACAGGCTTCATAATGAGAAGTGAGGTGTTCTGGCCATCTGGCAGTAATTCTCACAATTTCAGAGGCTGACGTGACACCCTGAAGTAAACATCCATCTTCACCTGATGTCCAGGGTTCATGTCCGGGGAAAGCAGACACTGATGCACCTGTCAACGATGTCTCTCCCTGTGAAAGGAACATAAGAAAAACATTAACAAACAAATGATTGACCTAAGCTCACTGTGTACTATGCTTACACTAGGACGAGGCCTGTGAAGCCCCTCCTCTCACGCACAGCTCATGCAGCATTTTCAGCTCCTGCAAATATTTATTTGGCTGTGCGCGCGTGTAGGCAAATCAAAACAATACAGCAAAATAAAATGCAATTAATCAAACTCATTGCACTGGTCTGTATTTGCATTTTGCTCCGTGCGCGCTGAGCTTTCTTCCTTTGAACGTGACGAAAAGGCCCTACCTAACTACAACGGGGGGTTGCGGAGACGACGGCCAACATTACAACTGTTTATATTTGCAACAGAGTCAAATGCCTCATACGCACCTGATTGCCGTGTTACGAAACAGCGATTTGGTCGGTGATATCTTTTTCAATAAAATGAATTTTAAAAAATCCACTCTTTGAACGTGATACTAACGCTTGTCAACGCCACCAACCGAGCCGCTTTGGGTTAGCTTAGCCATCTGTAGCTACCAAAAACAATGGCGGAAGAAAGCTGTTCTGGTTTTCAAAATAAGAGCACGCTAAGTTAAAAATATAGCTGATTCAACAAGTTTAGAAATCTTGGTGATGACAAATTCTGTGTCCTTCGTTTTCAGTCAGATCATCAGCAAATAATATTATTTAACACAACAAAGAAACTATTAATATTTTATTTATTGAACGTTTTTTAATGTAAACAATGTCTGTGAAGGTTCTCAGTAATGTAAACAATATAACACAGTGGCTGCCACAGTATAAGACCTGTATTAACAGGCAGATAACACTGATGATTTAAGTGCAATAAAGAGGAACAAAAACACCAGAGAGCTGAAAATAATATATGGCAGGAAAAACATCAGAACATCTTTTAGGTTCAATAAAAGACAAAATACAACAAATTTCAACCAATAAAAATAAATTAAGTTAAGAAAATATTGATCAATTTTGTGACAAATATGGTAAATTAGAAATGGAAAACCTGGCACCTATGTTAATGCATGGGATTGTTTAAAGATTCAAACCCTTTTGGATTGATTTAAAAAAATATGTTTTTGTGAACTCACAGTAAGACTGACATCATCTTACATGACAATGTCGAGGGATTTAATAACATGTAGCATCTAGTGGTGAAGATAGTTCATCCTGCTAGGCATGAATTTTTGTGCACTGTCTGATGTGGCTCACAATCTTACCACTGACTTAATGTACGAGGGCATTTTGGGTTATTGTGCAAATATATTAATTTGCTGGAAGCCTGCAAATAAAAATAACACAGCAAAGTTTGGTTTTCTGTCCAATTGCATGTTATTAATGTGCATGGAAATTATGTGCTAAACAGGTGAATAAACTGATTAAATGGCCAGTGATAAACAGGGACAGTTCCTCGCTTGGTTTCCTTCCAAAAATGTCAGAAGTAAGGCTGATAAGCGCAAATACAAATTATATTACAGTAAATGCAAAGTCATGGATGATTATTGGCTGTTAGAGCAACTCTCAAGGTTGTCAGCTGCCATAAAACTAAAATAAAGAGGAAGTAACGAGAGCATGTAATTGATCTGTCCAGCAGCATGTCAAAAGCAATTGCCAGGCAGAAACTGTGTTCGTGCTGCTTGTACATGTATCCATTTTCAGCAGCTCAATATGAAGTGGACAAACTGACATAGTTTTAAATATATGGGGGTTTTTTTAATCGTTGGATGGAAATCCTTTGCCTGCATTTGGTGATTGCAGAATCTCTTTCCCTTGGGAAATGCTCGGGTTGCTTTTTCAGCACGCTTTGGGTCACGATGTCCAACCGGTTTTGCAGCATCTGCAATATACACAAGTGAACTGGTTACACTGGGTCACTAGTACAGGCCAATACCATAATATTGTCTCCACCATATTTGACATGTGGTACGCTTCATACCTTTCTCATTCCATCATTTTGGTACAGTTTAATCTTGATTTCATCTGTCCAAAGAATCTTTTCAGAGCTGTGCAGGCTCTTCTGGCATTCGTGAAGTTGCCTTTTGATTGCAGACTTTGACAATCATACACATACCCCCTTGCTGGTATTCTTGGTTCTTTAGATGCTTTGAAGTTGTTTTTCTTAACCGTAGAAAAAAATATTGCAAATAATGAATATAATTAGAATAATGTATTTGTCTTGTGTGGTGTTGTGGGGTGTCTGAGTGGATTATTTGGCCACTACTAACATTTGTGCTATTTTTCTGAGAGATTTATTTGGGTTTTTGAGCCTGTAGATGGCCTTCTTGTTAAGCTATAAAAGAGTCAGTTGAAATGTATTAATTTGTCATGCACTGCCATGGTCTGCACTTCATTGGCATCTTGTGTAATTTAAAATCCATTAAAAATAAAGAAAAGAAAATGATATCACAGTCCAAAACATTATGGACTCGACTGCTGTCTAATTCTTCGTTTCCTTTAGGCGTTATCTCACAAAGTAATATAATGCATGCTGCTACTCGAGTGTACTCTTGTTTTGAAAGGCCCTGTGAGAAGTGTAACTTCATCATTTGTTTTTCTTGACAGGCTGAGCGCAACGGACCTGTGATTCTGAAAGAAATACCACGCAAATCTGCCACATCTCCCCCTGTTATTTACGCCAAATCTCCCACAAAAACAACGCAAGGCTTTGGAGGATCTACGCTACTCTTCAAATTTGGCGTCTTCCACCATCACAGTTTTACGGTTTTTACCTGTCGGTTGGTTTTTCCATTATCTCGCACAAGGACTGATTATTTTAGACACGACCAGGCAGCAGTTTGCTAAATCGGGGCAATGTAGAGGGGAGGGGGCTCACCCAGTGACCCAGGAAATGCTTTGACGCTTTTGTGTGTGCTGTAATAAAGTCAAACAACACGCGTTTATCAGCTTGCAGTGGCTGTCAGAGAGAGGCAAAAGGCACCCGTGGATAGCTCTGATTAAAATGCCATAAAAGCAGTTAGAAACATGCTGTTCACAAGAGTCTGCAGACTGTTTCCTAGTATGTCAGTATCACTGGCATTACCGAGGTGAGTACTCCAGTAGGTTTGTGGCAAACAACGGGCTTTACTCATGTGTGTTTAGCGTTTCTGAATATTGTCACGATGCTCACTTTATATCCTTAAATCTGGAGTCGCCAGTGCCTGATCTCCTCAAATACCCTTAAATATTTCCATCAAACCCTCGATGCATGAAAATGCTCTGATTTATTCATGTTTTTGAAGCCACCACACTGTCGCTCATGGGAGGATCATCATGACTATTGTCAGAACAGTTTCTGGGATTTGCACACCATTGTTGCAATTCACAATGACACAGCAGTGGCTTTCACTGACCCTCCCACTCCCCGGTCTGCCCGACACATAGGCCCTGCCTTCCTGCGCCCTTCCTGGTTATGGCACTATTAAAACAGCTGGCCCGGACTCGAGCTCCGTGCTGGTTTCTTCTCAGGAAACAGTTTTTCTTGTCACTTTGCAGACGCGGGGTTATCAGTAGCGGGATGGCCTCAGACCCGTCGGAGATAACCCGGTTCGACTTTCTGGTGGTCGGCGGCGGGTCTGGAGGTCTGGCCGGGGCTCGGCGGGCGGCGGAGCTCGGAGCAGCTACCGCCGTGATCGAGAGTCACAAACTCGGAGGTACCTGCGTGAGTAAAAATAATAATAAAAAACAATCAGACATGCCTCCCTGCTGCTGTCACCTCTTCAGCATGTACACGCACACACACAGACACGTTAGTTACCAGATTCACTGCGAAACCTCCCGACTCCTTTTTTGTGTGTCTGACAAACATTGTGGGTTTGAGGTACAAAGCAGCCGATGAGGTTATAAACTGTAACTCATTCCTGTTGCCTTGAGCTGAATCTGTTGTAACGGAGGCATTTTGAAATGATCTGCACAAGGCGTCAATATGAGGAAGAAAGAAGTGGTTTTAAATGCGTTAGGCCTGTCTGTGCTGACTATTAGTTAAATCAGGCCTCTATAGTTTTTTTCAGCTAAAACATCAGGGGAAGAAATGGCTACCAAAACCTTTCAGTCCAATGGTTTTGGCATAAACCACACAAAGCCACAGTGAAAAACAGTGTGGTTACATTTGCATATATTTTCCTCATTGATAAGTGAATGCTGGTGTTGTATTACTTTACAGCCATATGAATGCGCCTGACCTAATCTTTTACATCTTTTCCTTTTGTAAAATGTTGGTTTTATGAAACACACTGACACAGCATTGCATTTTTTGATACTGCAGTTCTTTTGCTTCACACTACATAAATATTCTTCCTGTCACTGCAGCTTTAGTCTAAAACGTATCTCTTCCATAATCTCTGTATCACTGCTACTTGACCAGCTTTCACTCAATTCATTTGTTCTGCTTTCTTTCCTTTTTTCAGGTCAATGTTGGTTGTGTCCCTAAGAAGGTACCTTTTTCTTTACACTTATTATAATAATATTATTATGATAAAAGGTTTTGCATGTACACTTCTCAAAATTCAAGTTCTCAAAGCCAGCTCTTTTTGCTCTTCTTCTCAGGTGATGTGGAATGCAGCAGTTCATGCCGAATATCTGCACGATCATGGTGATTATGGCTTTGAAACTGGAGACGTTCGTTTCAGTTGGGAGTAAGTTACAGTTTCTGCTAGTGTCTACTTGATTTTTATCTTTTTTTTTTCTTTTTTCCTTTTTTGCAACTGCAATGAACTCTTATAAAAGCCGTCTTGGTTTTTCCTGGTACAAAGAAGCATTCATTTCTCCCACAACCTCTCAGTCAGTTACTTTGTGTTGCTTAACTTTAGCCCACTTCTCTATCTCTGTGCACAATGAAGTTGGGCAAAAATGACTGTTGAAGATAAGCCTTCCTGAAGGGAGTGGTTGACTACATTTACAACATGAGGAAACCTTTTCAAAATATAACATTAGTGTGAGAGGAATGTGCTGGGATTGGGGTGTGCCTGCATGGATTACAGTAGAGTACTAAGTGCTCCACAAACATCTTCAGTGTGCAAAGAATCCCAGGGGTTAAAGTGGGATTTAGCAGGTGGGAGTTGTAGTGATGCAGTGTGGGGGAAAGAGTTACTTAGAAATAAGTCCCAATTTGTATTGTGAGCTCCAATTTTCTTTTTGTACAGGCTGTGATCAGCTGACTTGTTGCTACTCTGAGATTCACTGCTGTTTATTTATTTAGCCAACTAAATACAACTGGATATAACCAGATGTTAAATTTGTTTTTCTTCATCAAACTTGTGTTTTTCTTGTATTTTTCTACCATCTCACCTCTATAGGAGAGCTGTAACAGTTTATGCTTTTTATGATTCATTTTCTAGAAATGGCAACACAAGGGTGATACAAGACAAGTATTCCTTGTGATGATGGTTTATTAACACAACATATTTTAGCTGGTTGAATCATTTATCTAATGTTTTTGCAGAACCCTAAAAGCCAAGAGGGATGCGTACGTCAGTCACCTAAATCGCATTTATCGCAACAATCTTGACAAAGTA